CAACGCTAAAGGAAGAAACCTCGTGTCATTCGCCTCCAAGCATGACCTATGTTTTTTGAATGATGGAAGTCCTACATATCTGCGGGGCCTTACGTACAGCAGTTGCCTCGATTTGATTCTGGTATCCAGAAACTTCCGGTTGCAAGTGCACTGGTTTTCAGACATCAAAACGCATGGAAGTGACCACATTCCAACTTATATGCGAATAAGGGGTCTTACTAACTCCTCTCCTAAGACCACAATACGAAGAATTGATTGGTCCAAATTTCAGCGACTCACGGAAAATACATGCCGTGAAGACCCTGACCAGAACTTGGAGGATGTCATCAAAGAGGCAATGAGGGAAGCTTCCTGTCTCCTCCCGTTCACCGGCAAGCGTTCATATTTCAACGTTGAACTGGAAAAACTGTGTGCGCTTCGCCGAAGGGCGGAAAGAAGATACAGGCGGACGAAAGCAATATGCGACTTGAGGCTGGCACGACGCATACAGAAAAAAGTCCAACGACGTTTAGACAAACTTGAACAGGAACGCTGGAAATCATTCTGCGAATCATTAGATCCCCGAAAGCCGTTATCACGCATCTGGAGCACTATTCGTGGCCTGCGCTCGGCTGCCCAACAAAGACATCCTTTCATGGCTTCAGCCCTACATTTAGGCCACACCCAACTTGAAGTGGCAAATGAGTTTTGTACGCGAATCGCTGGTGTGTCCGCCTTGTCCGCTGGCACCATTAGGAGTGTTATCCCTGATCCCCACATCTCCAAAATGGACAATCTTTTCACTATAGAAGAACTTGACGCATCTTTGGCGGCTTCCCGACGATCATCTTCACCAGGACCCGATGGCATCACCTACGCCGCTCTAGCCAACCTTCAACAGGAGGCAAGGGGACAGTTGTTAAGCTATTACAACCACTCATGGCAGGCGGGCATTGTTCCCCAAGATTGGAAGATAAGCAGACTTGTGCCACTACTCAAAGCAGGAAAGTCACCATTTGATTTGACATCATTTCGCCCTGTTGCCCTCGCAAGTTGCGTAGGAAAAGTCATGGAAAGGATGATACTTACACGCCTAGAATGGTACCTCGAGCGCTACAACGTATACCAAAACTGCATGACGGGTTCTCGGCGAGGTAGGTCATCTCTTGACAACGTGATTGATCTCACAACATTTATCCAGCAACAGAAGAGCCTCAAGCGCATACCACTGGCACTCTTCCTTGACGTCAAAGGGGCTTATGATAACGTAACACATAGAGCCTTCCTAGACTCGTTGGAAGCTGTTGGAATCGGTGGCCGGATGTTCCAATGGATCCAGGATTATTTGACGAGAAGGTCCTTTTTTGTTCAAACCTCAGATGGACCTACCATCAATTACTACACCTCCCGTGGCGTCCCTCAGGGCACCGTATTAATTCCCACTTTATTTAACCTCGTGATGGTAGGACTTCGTGAAATTTTGCCAAGTACTATCCTCATATCCACATATGCTGACGATATTTGTCTATGGACTTCGGCTGTAACTCGTCTACAAGTACGTGCAAGAGTCCAGCTGGCTGCCACCCTGACATGCTCATATCTCCGCAAGCAAGGTCTTTCCGTCTCAACGGAGAAATGTGCATTGGTTGCGTTTACTCGCAAAGCCATGGCACAATACCCCATTACCATCAATGGGCAAAATATTCCATACCAGAAGAACCATCGCTTCCTGGGTGTGATTATTGACAGGGACCTTTCGTGGAGTGCCCACTGCAATAACCTGAAGAGAAGGCTAACTTCCATCGTCCATATAATGCGGTTCCTCTGCGGAAAATCTTGGGGCACATCGATAAGGTCAATGATGCAGCTATACCGGGCAATGTTTCTGGGATTTTTGCGCTACAGCTTGCCGTTACTGGCAAGTACGTGCAAGACAAACATCCGCACCCTCGAAAGTCTGCAGGGACAAGCACTACGCGTGTGCTTAGGATTGCCGCGATGCACCTCAACCTACGGGGCAATTATGATCGCAAGAGAGCATCCAATTCAAACATTCATCACCACTGACGATTTGAGAGCCCACATAAGACACCTCTGCCGAGTTCCTGTTCACCATGTTGCAGTGTTGCCACTTCAAAGACCACAAGCGATGTTTTCAAAGATTATTTCTGCCCATAGAGAATGCCTTCCTTTCGGCTTCATTTCAGCAACAAGACCAGCGTCACCTCCGTGGTGCCTACAACAACCACAAGTGTGCCTCACTATTCCGGGAATAACGAACAAGAGCCGTCATTCAACAGTGGTCCTACGACAGGTGACATTGTCGCTACTCAACAAAAAATACGGCCAGAGAACCCACATTTACACCGATGGATCGGTCTCGGCTGACAGCTCCACAGGTGCTGTTGTCATTCTGGCGTACCAGGTCACTATAAAGCTCAAACTGTCTCATAGGACAACATCCACAGCAGCGGAGCTTGCCGCCTTACGTGCTGCTATACTTTATATCGCGGAAGGCGGACCTCAAAAATGGGCTGTGTTCTGCGACTCCAAGGCATCCCTTCAGAGATTGCAATCAGCTTTACGACAAAGCGAGCATCAACAACTACTGAATGAAATAAGAGAAGTGATTCACGAAGTTTTATCGAAAGGGCATGACGTGGTGTTCCAGTGGTTACCAGGACATTGTGGTATTGTCGGTAATGACCTTGCTGATAATGCTGCCCGATCCGCCAACGCGGACGCCCAGACAACCCCGATTCCATTGTCGAGAACTGACGCTGCAAGGGGCCTTCACTCGTTCGCTAACACCATGTCGGAAACTTGGCTGAGTGACCCCAGTGTCAGGAACCGCCGCCTACACAAATTGGGCCCATCTAGAAAGCTTCAAGTTCTATCGGACCTCTCCCGCCAGGATGCAACTTTACTGTGCCGCCTGTGGTTAGGAGTAGCTTTTACAAAGGCGTACTCCTTTCGCATAGGAATGGCGGATAGCTTCCAATGTGAATCGTGTGACACTGACAAGACAATAGAACATCTACTGTGTTCATGTGAACGTTTTTCGAGCGAACGCAACTTGCTACGCGAAGCGTTAGAGACCCTAGACAGTAGACCTTTCTCCGAAGAGAAGATCCTTGGTTCATGGCTGTACGCGTCGCAGGCCGGCAAAGCGACGCGAGCACTGCTAATATTTCTAAAGACGACCGGACTACGCGACCGCTTATAAGCGTGCAATGGACAAGGTCACATCTACACACACGTTGTCCTTCCCTTCACTTCTCTCTCTCTTTTCCTTTAATCCCCTCACCCCTTCCCACAGTGCAGGGTAGCAAACCAGACGTGCGTCTGGTTGACCTCCCTGCCTTTAATTTCTTCCCCTTCTCCTCCTCCTCCTCCTGTGGCACTGTGGTGACGTTCGCCGATATGTGGCACCCGTATAACATATGGGGCCAGGAGTTGATGACGAGTTTGTGAGTACACTACGTGGAAAAGCCATTTGTAGATATTCAAGAAATGGAAGGCACATGCAAGCCTGTAATGTATAGGTAGTGAGAGGTGTTAGATTGTGCATGAATGTTTAAATTCAACGGCTATCGATACCTTCGCATACTCATTAATCGGTGGTCAAGTATTGTTCTCTTGCTTACAAGAGAATGGCAAGCGCATTCATTTGGCAAGTCGTTATTATCGGCACGCTTTCATTCTCCCATTCGCATATATCATTTTCATCGCTTGGTGAGCTGATCGCAGCACAAGCACAGGCTGCATGACTCCCCCCAAAGAGTTGAATATGATCTACACAATTGGAATAATTAAACGTGCCGACAATAAAGACTTGCCTAATAAAGTAGCATAGTAGATATCAGTAAGACTACTTGCATCTCTTTTGTTAAGAAGAGAACAATGCTTCACCACTGTTAACGGCCCTGCAAGGTAAAGCAAGGTTTCCCTCAATGTAAGCAATAATAATATTTTTGAGCCTTTCTACTCAATTCAATGCGGTATTATGTCATGCCGTGCCTTATTTGCAGTGACTCAAACCTTTTGTTGGTCGAACAACGAAGCGTCGTATGCCGTGCAGAAGCTGAAGTTTCTTTTCATGTTCTAAGCTCCATGCGTCTAGCGGGATGAGTACATTTAACACTCGTCTGTCGACTTTCACTGGCTGCTTTATTCTCTGCTCGTTACATATGCTCGTAACTAACGATAATATCTGTGCACAGTGTTACGTTTTTTTTCTTTTTTTACTGTATCGAGCACGGCACAAGACCATGAGAAAATAGAGGTTTGAAGAAGGAATAATAATTCACCGATAACAACCACGCAGTTAGCCAAGTTGGGTGATGCTCATTTCATGTAGCTGCGGGCCTTTGCCATGCCTTGCACCCATTGAATGAAGGCTCGTTATTTCTTTGGGTCTGGGTCCGATAGCACTCCATCTCACTGCTATTCAGATATGGCAGCGATGTTAAGGTTTGAGTATCTATCCCCATAGCATGTAGCATAGATTTTCCGGGACATCACACTACTTGGACATGTACGACCATTCAGAGATCGAAAATTCTCGAACAATTTGTTTAGCTGCAGCAGATGCTTCGACGAGCGTCTTCTTGAGGGCACTTAAGGAGGCTAGTATAGCTCATAAAAGTACTTTTATGGACGTACTTTTAGTCATGGAAGGCAAGGCCATTTTCCTTGAGTTAAACTAGGTGTATCCAAAGTAACGGGACAAGATTAACAACGCACATTGGGCAGATACGAGAAGAGGCATGGTTTTGTATTCCTTCTTGTCGTATACCAGTGTGCTTTGAGCTCTCTGTCTTGTCTTAATAATTTTAAGGTAGGAACTTCAGGGAAGCAGCTGCCTTGAAGATGTTTCTAACGGCAGGGAGACACGGTCATTATCGAAAAGTCGACTCCACCAACCCCCACCGTTCGGGAATTCTTAATGTGAATAAATCTTGTGGCCTCCTGTCTTATTAGATGAAAACACATGAGTTTTTTTTTGCTTTTTTACGCAGATAACTGTTACTACCATCGGCTACGGCGACACTGTTCCTCGGACCTGGATGGGAAAAATTGTGGCGTCCTGTTTTTCCTGTTTTCGCAATCTCGTTCTTCGCGTTACCCGCGGTAAGTGCTCACCCTTAATTACTTTTGCTATAGATGATGCACCCTCATAATAAGGAGTTTTGTAGGTAGTACTATTTAAAATATTAGGTGGCACTTAATTTAGGTAGCACTATATTAGGTAGCACTATATTTATGTAGCACAATATTTTAGGTAGCACTATTTAAAATGTAGATATGTCGGTATTGAGAACGGAAATATAGGTCGCAGTGTCCCTGATGAAGCCTACTTCTTTACATGAAAAATATACAATGAAGATTACCTTTAGTAAAGCACCTTTAAAATATGCACGCAATATTTCAGCTGTTAAGAGTTCATCGTGACGTTATTTTTATTATACATTTTCTTTTTTCCTGCAGTTATTTCAGAATAGGTTTTTTTTTTCGTTTTGCATTGAATCATAAAGAAATGAAGTAGCCGAAATACTATATACTTCAATCTCTCTACAGCATCCAAATTGTGACAGAGCAAAAGAGATCAGAAAAGAAGCAGCAAATCTATGGTAATAGTAGAAGGTGAATACGAAAAAAACCATATGTCAGATTCAACCACGCGTTGAGTAAGATTTTTTCACGGTAAAAACAAAGGCTCATCGCCACTTACATCTATTAGCAATGATTTTTCCCAACTTAATAGATACAATCGAAATCTCGAAACCATTATGAAGACTCAGATTCAAGAATTTCATCTAAAGGGAATTTTCACAATGAAGGTTCTGAAGCAGTAATTTCTACGTAGATCTGTCGTTTTATTTTTTAACCTAAACGCATACTTGCGTTAGTAAAGTTTTCATTGTGATTTGAAAAATGTAAAAAAGAAACGCAGCTGTTCGCACACCAATACTTACATTTATGTGTAGTGTTCAGCTAAAGACGTGCCTCAACTTAGCATAAGCTATAGATAAAAATTTGGGTTTCAAGTGTGTTTCCCTTTATTATCGACTTTTTACAATTATATTGCTCATGTACATTGCAATCGCATTGGTGGGCGAGTGATTCTCACTGCACAATGTTCATACCGCACACTACATAACGGCATTAAGGATGCAGTGTGCTGTCAAAAGCTTTTATTGTCTCCATTGTAATCTTTTGAACAATATACAGTGAATAAGAATGTCTTTCATTGTTTCACCAGCAAGAGCATAGGCTGCTAATAAACAAAACCTAATTAATCTATGTTTCCCTCAATGTAGATCGCCGTCGCCTTCTTGTCATGATGGCAAGTAGCACTTATATTTTGTGAACGCCTCAACATAACGAAAATCTTTGAACGGACGTTTCTTGCGTATTCTCTTTGTTAAAGGTACTCATTGAAAGGGCCACAAAAAACATAAACCTTCATAAAGGTTTATTCCCATGGTCTAATTATGTATTTTCACAATATCAGATGCTTCGTAACTTCCATTTATGTGCCTTAGGTTCTTGAGGGAGCAACTATTCTTAAGGGTAGCAAGATCTTACTCATACTTTCCTTAGGTTGGCACCGTTAAAATATTTTGGTGCATGGCATGGCATCTTATCGATAGCTAAGGATCAGTCGCGACCATATTCCCAGTAGATCTTCTTCCTTTCATTTACTTCTTCTTTCATCTTTGTAAAGAGTTGCCCAACATACGCGTTTAATATTTCGTATCAACATCACATTAGACATTATGTGCTTGTTTCATACTTTATGAACTGATAACAGTTTTTTTTTGAAATCCAGAATAAAAGTTGCATGTTAAGTAAAAATTCTAATACATAATGATACTTTTGAGTTCTAACATTCAAAAACCAGCGATTTGATTACGTTAGAGGACGTAGTGGAGTGCTAAGAAAATTTTGACCACCTGGAACTTTTTACCGTGCATAAAAATCTAAGCACATGGGCTTCAAGCATTATCACTTCCGCCAAGAATGCGCGCAGCCGTGTACAGGATGAAGTGAAAATTCGAGGTTATAGTTTGGTCAAAATGTATAAGTCACCAGTCTAAATTGTGAATAAGTCATATCGAGTAACGCCTGGGTAGTCCAATGATTGCCACACCCTTTTTTTTTCTTTCTTCTTAGGGCATTCTAGGATCAGGGTTTGCCTTGAAGGTCCAGCAAAAACAAAGGCAGAAGCACTTCAATCGTCAAATACCAGCGGCTGCTACATTAATACAGGTAAGAGATTCCCGTTGCACAGAACATCATTAAACCTTATCAGATTTGAGCTACCTCTCGTAGTACACAGAAACATCACCCACTTCTTATATACATATTACTACGTGACAACAGTCTTATGAAATTACTCATTTAACTTGTTGCTTAGTTACCTTCAATCAACTTGATGTCTTCCTAAACTGTAGAGCTCATTCTTATTCGAGTGTACGACGAGCAAAAAGCTTGCAATGCAATCAAATTAACAATGGGCTCTGAAGAGTTCACCCCAGAAGTGACCACGCCTTGTTATGTTTTTTTTACTTTGTTTAAATGTTTTGTAGATTTTTTCTGAGAGTTTTAGTCTCCACTCACCCCAGTACATGAAGATAAACGTGTGTAACGAATGATGTTAAGCTGCGTTGGATTGAAAAGAGCTATTCCTCTCTCTGATGAAACAACGTTGATCTGCTTTAACTGAGCTGCTTCTCTGCAGTGCTTGTGGAGGTGCTATGCAGCGGAGAAAACTTCCCGGTGCGAAGCCACTTGGAGGATTCACGTAAAAGAATCCAGCCACGGTGGCCTCAACTCGGGAACACCACTCAGCAGGGTAACGTATCCTTTTCCATTAGTGAAAGACGCCTGCGTTGATGAGGAATCCTTGAATGTACGCATGAACTCTTTTCTTGAGCTCTCAGCATGTAAACATGAGCCCCGTGTGCTCAGATTTGGGTGCACGTTAAAGAACCCCAGGTGGTCGAAATTTCCGGAGCCCTCCACTACGGCGTCTCTCATAATCATATGGTGGTTTTGGGACGTTCAACCCCACATATCAATAATGTAAACATGAGTCACGACAGTATGAAGAGGAATAATCAGGGTGAACAATGCAAGTGCCTCAGACAGGCTGGCCAACGTTTCGATAGGAAGACCTATTTTTTTCAAAGGAAAGATAGGTCGTCTGATCAAAACGTCGCCTAGCCTATCTGAGGCACTTCCGTTATTCACCTAATTATCCCACTACGTTGTTTCCATCTGTCAGCTCCCATCTCAAAGAGTAGGAAGAGAACCAACAAAAGTCCTACGTTAGCCGTCTGACCTCGATTGGAATGTTTTCTTTCAGGCCTTCACCATAGAAACAATGCAATCGAGTGAATTACTGAACCTTTTTGTCCAGATGTCTCGAGTACGTTGGTCTTCACTGCAAGCTTTGATTCTTTCATCAAGATAATGTGTGCGCGCGAGCGTCATTTTTTGTCGTTTTTATTTGCATTAACAGTCGAGACTTACATCGTTCTCTATAAAAATTTGCTACAAGATCTTCCTTTTTCTTTTAGTGGCTTTGTGGCACGCATGCCCACAAGCCAGTTATCTCCTATTGCCTTCAAAATCTACCTTCTCTGTGGGCGTGCAAAGTCCACAATCGTTTGCGGTTCCCTAAAGATATTTTCCCGCGCCATTCTCACTTATGGGTATCAAGTACTTAAGTCTTTCCGAACTTTAGAGCTCGGCAGCCTACAAAACTCTTTGCCAATGAAGGCGATTAAAGCTGTACAGGCTGTAATTACTTTCACCGCGCATATTTTTCACTCTTCTATTATTCCCCCTTTACACCATCCTAAGTGTAGAGGTACCCAGAGTGGTTAACCTCCCTGTCTTTGATGTTCATTTCTTCATCTCTCTTTCACCGCGCCCAGTGCTGGTACACACGGACTGTGTACCAAAAGCCGTCGTGAGTATGGATGCGCCACGAAGGAGGCGTATCAATCTCCTAATGGTGTGTTGTAGTAGTATTCGGTAGCTATAGACCTATGCAAAAGTAAAGGTAAACTCGAAGGCATTCTCGCTAACGCCATTCTGCTGAAATCGCGGGGTGACACCTTCTCTTCTGAACCTGTCTCTTGCAGGTTGCCAAGAGGGCGAGCGTATTGCGGCGGCGCAAGTCGAAGCAAAAGATCGAGGTGTCCAACTATTCGGCCAACACCGCCTGAGACCGAAGGCGACTCGCAGGCTGAGGACAGCGGCAAGCTAGGTGAGTCGACTCACTTGCATTCTCAACACAATTTGGTATATGTGACGCTAGCAACACAGAGCCAGAAGCTCTCAATCCACAACTATGCAATTAATAAGGCAATAAAGCCAATAATTACTTCCTAACTTGCATCATTGAGTCATGGACTGAGGAATTTTTCATCATAAATAAATACTGAGGCTACGAGTGACAGTGTAATGAAGGGTCAACAATTAATATCTACCAGCATAAGCTGCAAAAGTAATACATTTTTCGTCGCCTCATTGATATCTAATAAAGACAAAATTAGCGCAAGTAGACCGAGCACAACTAGAAAACAACACACAGGACGTGACACTAAATAATTATGCCTGAATTCAATGTTCATTAACTAGGCCAGATGACATCTGTAATACTGCTCAGTTACATCATGAATCTCATCCACGAACCTGTACTCAGCAGCTGAATGGGGTAAACGCAGTCATAGCGGCGAGCTCATGAAAAAGAAATATAGCTCATGTTAGCTGAAGTAATATCAAGCGGCCAGAGATCCAGTCGTAGTGGTCTGGCTGCCACATTCAATCTGTAATTTATTGATTGATAATGTGGGTTGTTATGTCGACTCATTCCTATTGCTAAAATGCAGGAGCTTCAGAAGTTCAAGCAAAACCAGTCAAGGTTTAGCCTTGTTATTTTATTCATCATCAACATCATCATTAGCCTGAATACCTCCGCTGCACGACAAATGCCTCTCCCGTGTTCCGAAAGTCGACTAGGTCCTGTGCTTGCTGCTGCCACTTTATACCAGCGAACTTCCTAATATCATCTGCCCACCTAACTTTCTGTCTCCCCTTTCCCCGCTTATCTTGTCTGGGAATCCAGTCAGTTACTCCTAATTATCAGCGGTTTTAGTTAGTTTATTAGAGTTACATTGATTTTCCTGTTGCTTAGTAAGAAAGGTGGGTGTCAGTTAAACGAAGGAAGAGTGACTACTAGCTTCAACATATCAGCAAGACAGCGAACCATGTGCTTACACTGATATCAAGCAGAAAGCGCAACATGGTTGACAAAACAGCTGACTAAATTCAGTGAAATCGTCTTGTCCAAGCTTGCAGGGGCCTCTTGTCAGGGCGTTCTATAAACTTCTGCACAGCCCACCTTCGGTGAAGTGAACATGTGTTTCACGCAGTAAAGCCTCGCAGCTTCGTCTAGCGTCGTGTCAGAATCTAGCGCTGTTTTTTCTCGCTGCAAAGTAGCGTCAGATTATTGCATACAAACTTCTAAGTATTTGACGCGATTGCCGGAAAACAGCCTCGTCGCGTAACGCTTTCTATTCGTTGTAGATGACACGCAACATAAGAAGTTCACTCTTGAACGTCGTTGTTTTATCCTAAAGTAGTGACTATTTTGTAGTAAGGCATCTAGGCACTGTCTCTTTAGGCTTTTAGGCTAATGTTTTCTCGTTTTCAATATCGTGACGGGCATAATTAACGCCAGGAACCCCATCGAGTTTCCTAAATATACACTAGAAGGAATTCTGACGCTAGTGTCTATGAAAGCTCCAATACATAACGCTTTAGCAAGAAAGGAAATTAGGGGTATGAAAGGACGCGGATTTTCCTATGGTCTCCATACTTTGCGTGCGTGCTGGCTTCGCAGGGTCTGAAGCTGCTTTTTCTCCAAACAACAATCGGCTAATGTTCGGCAGTTGCGCTTCACCACCTGAATATTTTAGACTAATCACTTCAAATAAGATCACGAAGTGAAAAACAGTTTGTTCTTCCCTTCGAAACAAAATCAATACACAGTTATAAACGAAGCCACAAGTGTGATCATCGCCGGCTAGCACGAAGACTAGGCAAATCTAAGTCATACCCATAATTTCCATAGTCGGAGTATATATGATCGCAGTGCCAAAGTTAGGATTCTCTAAGATGAATATCATGCATCAACCTAACCTTTTTCATGCGCATGCATCTACCGAAACACTGTTCAGTTAGTAAAGATACAAAACACAGAGGCTAACAGTCCAGTACGCCAGCGTTGAAAACCACCAGTAAAACAGTCATATAAGGCTGTGCAGTGGTATGCGAGCATGCTTAAAAGTTGCTGTAAACTACACTATGCAGTTGTCTCGTAACCACTTCTTTGTTTTTTTCCCTTTTCAATTCAACGCAGGGCAGCGAAGGAAAACAATACCGACACCGAACGCAAACTGTCACGACGCGAATAACGAATTCGTCGAGATCGACATGGATGAATCGCCGCAAGTGACCAGGTAGTGGTAGTAACTTGGACTGCCGCGTTTATCTATGCCGAAGAATCCTAGCAACTCTATCTATCTATCTATCTATCTATCTATCTATCTATCTATCTATCTATCTATCTGTTATGGTGTGATGTGGGCCCAGGATCCGGAATAAATCAACCGGCAGTCAGGTGACTCTGTACACACAACACAGACTTTAACACAACCGATAACTCTTACAATTCACACACAACACACTATAGCGTTCCTTATTTACATGCCAAACGTCGTACGCGCCTCGGCACACGAACTGTCCTACTCGCCGTTATGACTGTTGCCGCTGCGGCGAAGTCGGTCGTCACCGGTGTTCCTTGTGCAGTCACGCTGCCTTGACCGTGGTGAGGTGGTGGTGGTGGTGATGGTGGTGCTGCAGGCCGGTAGATCACCAGGCCACTGCAGTGCAGGTTAATGGCCCGTCGCCAACATGAGCCGCGGCCACCTCGTGCCACCACTCGGGCCCCAGGACCTCAGGCCACGAACAGACTATGCTGCTGGTCCCCGTGTCAGCGCCGGCCACAGAGCGGGAAGCCAGCTCACCAGGTCCGCAAGGCTGCCGGACGCCTGGTTAAGTGATGTCGCGACCCGAACCGCCGACCAGCAGCTGCCGTTCGAACTGTGTCACGCTCCAACTGCCCGAGCCGCACGCCCCGCTCGCGCTTCCTTTTCCTCGTCTTCGCCTCCAAGGCATACCGCAGAGCAGAACTGCCGTTCCCTCTTCGCCCCGTCACGGGCCACACAATCCACATCATCACACCACCCCCCACTTAAGATAGTTGGTAGCAACTATTCCACTCCACGCCAGGCGGTGAGTAGGCAAAAGTGCAGGCGCGTTTGTAAAGAGGAAACAAGTTCACACGAATCCGAATGGTTGCGATCCACACAGCACGTAATGAAAAAAACACACACATGAAAAATACACAAGTGGAGGAAGATTAGAGCAATTCAGATGCGACTTAAGTAGTCCGCTCCTACATTGCCTGAGCCTTTTATGTATTCTACGGTAAAGCTGTACTCTTGCATTAGTAAGCTCCATCGTAACACTCGATTATTGACGTGTTTGGCTGACTGCAAGTACCGGAGTGGCTGGTGGTCGCACTGAATAATGAAGGGTTTGCCGCATAAGTAAATGTGGAACTTCTGAACAGCCCACACGAGCGCTAAGCATTCACGCTCTATTGTGGAATAGCGGGCCTCTCTAGGCAGCAGATTGCGACTAGCATAAGCAACCGGATGTAAAATATCGTCCCCACTGCTTTGCAGAAGCACTGCGTCGATGCTTGTGCTTGAGGCATCAGTACGGAGCACGAAAGGCTTCGAAAGATCCGGTGTTTGTAGTATGGGACTTGCGGCGAGCTTGTCTTTCAGCACGGTGAATGCTTTTTCTTGCGTCGGTCCCCACGATACGATGTGATGTTGGCCTTTCTTGGTAAGGTCAGTCAAGGGCTTGGAAATCTCTGCGTAGTTCGGAATAAACTGCCTGTAATAGCCCGTAAGACCGAGAAAGAATTGTACAGCTATCTTCGTCGTGGGGCGCTTGGCGGCTAGGATCTTGTCCAGCGTTTTCAGCATTGGTTCTACCTTCGTCTCGCCAATGCGATGTCCGAGGAATGTAATGGTACGCTCTCCAATCTCACACTTGCTCGGTTTGATTGTGAGGTTTGCATTGCGAATTCTTTCGAAGACAAGTCGTAAGGCTTCCATATGTTCATGCCATGTGCTAGTAGCGATGACCACATCGTCAAAATAATGATGCACATTCGGCAAATCGCCTAGAACTCTCCTCATAAGGCGTGCAAATATCGCTGGGGCAGTCTTAATCCCAAAAGGCATGTATTTGAAGTGGTAGAGCCCCGACATGCTTGAAAATGCCGTCTTTTCACGACTGTCTGGAGCCATGGGCACTTGCCAATAGCCCTTCATGAAATCGAATTTCGAGAAAAATTTCTGTTTCCCCACAAGAGCTAGAACAACATCAATTCTCGGAATTGGCTCACTGTCGAAGACCAAGGTCTTGTTCAGCTCCCTAAAGTCAATGCACAACCATATGGTGTTGTCGGGCTTCTTGACGACAACGATCGGCGCGTGATATGGCGACTTTGATTTTTCGATTATGCTCATTCGAAGCATCTCCTGTACCTCTTTTTCGATGTTCTCACGCAGCGCTGGAGGAATCGGGTACTGAGGCACGTGAACCGGCTTTTCGATGACGAGGTCAAGAGAGCATTCGACAAGTTGTGTCTTGCCGGGAAGGTCCGAAAATATGTCTGCAAACTATTCGCACAATTGTCGAACTTGTTGAAGTTGGTCTGTCTGCAGTTTGGGTGATATCTTGACGTCTGATGCCGTTTGTGTTTGGCATAGACTGAGAGAGGGGATGGTATCCTCAGAGTCGTTGGTCTCACTGTTCGCCTCTTCCCCAGGTGTTGCACTTGTAGTATTCACTGCAGCCACCTGATGAGATGTTTTTTCTCTTTCCTGCTACTTCTTCAGCATATTCACGTGGAAGACCTTGATGCTCTGCCACAAGTCAATTGCATAATCAACATCATTCTTGGCTTCAGCAACATTAAACGGGCCCTTCCACTGCATGAGAAGCTTATTGGTGTCTGTAGGAAGGAGAATTAAAACCTTGTCACCGGGCCGTAGCCTTCTGTGGCGGGTCTTACGGTCGTAATAAAGCTTTTGCTTTTCACGTGCTTTACCAAGCTCTTCATGAGCGAGGTTACAGGTGTGTTCGAGTCGGTTTCGAAGGTCCACAAGGTAAGTGTACGTTGTTCGTACTTCATCCTCAATTTTCTCGTTCGTCCACAGCTCTCTTAAAACACTCAAAGGTCCACGCACATGTCTGCCGTAGATTAACTCAAATGAAGGGGAGCAATGTAGCGATACATGACCGTGGCTACTCCTGACACACCCTTTTGAGCATGGCCTTCAGCGTACCGTTGAAGTTTTCGACCAATCCATTGGCCATGGCATAATATGGGGTGGTACGAAAAAACTTTACAGTTAGTAGTCGGCCCACTTCTTTTATGAGTTCCGACGTGAAACTTCTACCTTGATCGGTAACCACTTCTCGAGGCAGGCCCACTCGGGAAAATATTTCAAGGAGGGCTTCTGCAATACTTACAGCGTCGATGCTGGGTAGGGCTACTGCGTCCGGATAGCGAGTAGCGAAGTCAATGAGGGTAAGCACATAGCGGTTTCTCTTATCTGATCGAGGAGATAATGGTCCGATCAGGTCAATGGCGACTCTTTGGAATGGTGTCCGTATGAGAGGCATGTTGCCCAACGGAGCGACTCCGACTTTCCCTTTCGGCGTTGTCCTCTGGCAGACGTCACACGACTTGACAAACCGTCTGATTTCTTCATGCATACCTGGCCAGTAAAAATCCCCAAGGATACGGTCTGTGGTACGTCGCACGCCTTGGCGACCAGCCATAATGCCCTCGTGTGCAACCTTCAAAATGTGTTGTCGAAGTGTCCTTGGCACGACTACTTGCTTAAAGGTCCTCCCCGTAGAAAGGCGGTAATGTCGATACAGTAGACCAGCCTCTTCAGAAAAGTGGTACGTCGTGTCTTTATTGGAGTGAAACTCCTTCCCAATCTTGCTGAAGCAACTCTTCAGACTTGGGTCGTCTTTTTGGCTCTCAGTTAGCTGCACTCGGGTCACTTCTAGCGAACCAACTAGCGGAATGTTCATCATACTCTCCGTCTTCCCCTGCGTCCGGACGACGGCAGAAAGCAAGGTTGACTTTTCCCAGCATGCCGGGATTTCGCTCGAACCAGTCGATTCAGGGAACAGGGCGTCAGAGTACTCCCAGGTAGTATCTGGCTCCTGTGGTCCTTTTACTCCTGGAATATTGCCGAGCACGAGGTCGTACAAAGGGTTAGCCATGCATAAAGCGTTTACATCACCAACGAAGTAGGGCGTGTGTATCTGTATGTTTGCTTCCGGTAGTTCCTTGGCCTTTCCATCCAAAGGCATAACTCTTGCCGTCTTCGCAGTCAGGCATCGATCCGGCACGAACTCGCGTCGGACGATGGTCGTGTTGCTCCCTGTGTCTCGTAAGACACGTGCGCGTTGTCCAAGCACCCGTCCTTCGACCACTGGCATGTTGTCGACTAAGAACATAGGTTGGTTCTCGCACTTCTTGGGGCATTCAGCAGCGCATGTCTCATCCTTGTACTTGGCCATAGGGAAGTAATCCTGTTTTTTTCTGTTCTATCATGGGACAAGACACCGACTTGTCTTTGCTCTGATCCTTGCAATCGGTGGCTTTGTGGCCAAGCCGCCCACATGTTTTGCATTTCACAGACTCTTTCAGAACCGCACGACAATCCGGAGCGCTATGTCCTTTGCGGTGACACAGAAAGCAACTCGGCTGTTTGTACTGTGACATAGCACCGGGTTTATTTGCCTCCTTTGTATCATCTGCAATTTTACCAATGTTTTTGACTCCCTGTGCTTCGAGAAAGCGGTCGGTGCACTCTGAAAGGAATGTAAGGGTTTTGCATTCCCTCTCTTTCAGGAAGATGGCCAGCTTCGGATTACAGCAACGCAAGAATTGCTCGCCTATAACATGGTCACGAAGACCCTCAAATGTTTTGGGCACATCAGCCATCTCAATCCAGTTATCAAAATAGCTCGAGATCCTTGCTGCTAGTTGTTTCCCTGTTTCGCCATCTTCAGGCCGGGCTTTCCGAAATTTGTCTTTATATCCTTGTGCCGTGAATCTGAAGCGCTGAACTAGGGCTTTTTTCCCTTTATCATAGTCGAGGGCCTCGTCAGCAGTCATTCGACCAATGACAGTGAGTGCCTCACCAGTTAAGCACATGCTTACGGCTACTCCCCATTTATCTCTTGGCCATTCTTGCCCAGTAGCCACGCGTTCAAACCTCTGCAAATATGCATGCAGGTCATCGCGTCGCTCGTCAAATAGCGGTAGTAACTTCCGCGGATTCAGGCATGACGGGTTTGCCAATGGGGCGAGTGCTGCCGCCGCAGATGGCTGACTTTGAGCACTTTCCTGAAGCTGGAGCTTAAGTTGGAGGATTTGCAGCTGCCTCTCGTCTGCTAACCGTTGCCTCTCGTCCGCTAACCGTTGTCTCTCGGCTGCTTCTTTGGCCTCTTCTCTCTCAGCTGCGCGCTCATCTCTCTGCCTAACTTGCTCTCGCTCAATCCATTCGCGAAGTTCCGCACCAGACAAGCCTAACTGAGCTGCTACAGCCGCTAACTTATCGAGATCCATGTCTCTCATCCTGTGCTGCGTGCACACACCTGACTGGCGATTTCCGCGTTCGAGATGTTACTGGCGGGATCGTGGCAGGTTCGCCAAGTTTGTTATGGTGTAATGTGGGCCCAGGATCCGGAATAAATCAACCGGCAGTCAGGTGACTCTGTACACACAACACAGACTTTAACACAACCGATAACTCTTAGAATTCACACACAACACACTATAGCGTTCCTTATTTACATGCCAAACGTCCTACGCGCCTCGGCACACGAACTGTCCTACTCGCCGTTATGACTGTTGCCGCTGCGGTGAGGTCGGTCGTCACCGGTGTTCCTTGTGCAGTCACGCTGCCTTGACCGTGGTGAGGTGGTGGTGGTGGTGATGGTGGTGCTGCAGGCCGGTAGATCACCAGGCCACTGCAGTGCAGGTTAATGGCCCGTCGCCAACATGAGCCGCGGCCACCTCGTGCCACCACTCGGGCCCCAGGACCTCAGGCCACGAACAGACTATGCTGCTGGTCCCCGTGTCAGCGCCGGCCACAGAGCGGGAAGCCAGCTCACCAGGTCCGCAAGGCTGCCGGACACCTGATTGAGTGACGCAGCCCGAAGCAGGAAGCCAGCTCACCAGGTCCGCAAGGCTGCCGGACGCCTGGTTAAGCGATGTCGTGACCCGAACCGCCGACCATCAGCTGCCGTTCGAACTGTGTCACGCTCCAACTGCCCGAGCCGCACGCCCCGCTCGCGCTTCCTTTTCCTCGTCTTCGCCTCCAAGGCGTACCGCAGAGCAGAACTGCCGTTCCCTCTTCGCCCCGTCACGGGCCACACAATCCACATCATCACACTATCTATCTATCTATCTATCTATCTATCTATCTATCTATCTATCTATCTATCTATCTATCTATCTATCTGTCTATCTGTCTGTCTGTCTGTCTGTCTGTCTGTCTGTCTGTCTGTCTGTCTGTCTGTCTATCTATCTATCTATCTATCTATCTATCTATCTATCTATCTATCTATCTATCTATCTATCTATCTATCAAGCTTCTTTTTTAACAGTACCATTGCGAGTTGTAATAGCATGCCGTAAGAAAGAGGCAACGCAAAAGAATTCACAAGGCTACTACTGACTGATCACTGCGATAATTGAATTGTTTCATTCTCATTTGTACAACAATGCAAAAGTAAGCAAATTTAAGAGTCCTTCCTCTGATGCAGAAATATGGAAAGCAAAGCCATATGTGGGCGTTGATCTTTCCTTGTTCGTTTTCTTTTACTTTGCGGTAGAAAGATAGAGACAGAAATGAACATTCATTTCGAAACAGTGTTTCGAGTAGCGCCCCGTTTGACCCTTTGGTGGGAGGTCTCTTTGTTCTCCAGTCCAGGAACTCTCCTTCTTCGACTTTCCTATTTCCCATGCCTTAAACTGGACCTCCATTCTCGTTCTTAGCAGATAAAAACTTCAAATGCTACAGGAAAACGTGGCGGCTGTGCGTTAATCTTTTCAATTCTAATTCCAATTTGAATCATAAGTTATGCTGATCAGTCAGCGAGCATCTCGTAAAGATAAAGCGTTGTTCTTGCTCAAAAGCCCGTATTTGGCATCTGCCCTAGTTGTGTTGTCAATATGACACACACAATAAAGTGAGGTCCAGTCTCAATGAAAAAACTACAGAAGCGGTCGTGTAGAGTTTGCGCATTATGATGAGGCAGCATTTTCTGCCACCGTACAGAGATATTGCATTTTTGCATGTTATGTGGAAGAAATTCAAATTTAGGATATCGAAAAATATGCTATCCTACCTAAACATCATTTATAAATATATGAAGTAAAAGTTATGAAATCATTATCAAATAATAAATATTTACTTATATATTTAGAACATTTCTATTCTTCACCTAGAAGTGGGAGAAACGTTTTTCCGCTTATTTTGCACTGCCATAATCATGCGCCCCTGAGAATGTAAAAGCAAGTTATTGAAATTGAAAATAATCAATTTGGGATTGAAAGAGTTAAACAGTGAAAGGCAAAAATGAAATGTGACGGCGTGAAATGAAGAAAGAGCTCCATAAAACGTCAGTATGTCATATTAAAAGCGGTTGATCTCTGACGGGCTTTCTATTGATTGCCCGTTATTCGGAAGTGGTACAGAGAAATAACGCGCCCGACCACCGCCACTTGGAGGGCCATTCTTTGCACGTCGGCCCACCTGCAAACTGGGGAATGACTGAAAGAGTCATTGGGAATGACTGAAATAGTCTTCGGGAATGACTGAAATAGTCACAAAATAAGAGGGAACCAACACACTTTTCATGCGTTCTCATCTCTCTCTCTCTCTCTCTCTCTCTCTCTTTTTCAGCCTGACTGAGGCCCATAAAAACGCCATTCGTGGAATACGCAAGATCAAGTACTTCGTGGCGCGAAGAAAATTTCAGGTACTCTATACACTGCCTGACGAAAGCAAAGAACTTTTTTTTCGTGGTTTTTGATTGGACGAAAGCCAACCACGGTGGTCTAACGGTTACTGTGCTTTACTGGTGACCCGCAGGTCGCGGGATCGAATCCCGGCCACGGCGGCCACATTTTTGATCGAAGGAGGCCAAAATGCTTTAGGTCCGTGCACTTAGATACACGTTAACGAACAATAGGTGGTCGAAATTTTTTGAGCCCTCTCCTACGGCGTCTCTCATAATCATATTGGGTTTCTGTAGGTTATACTGCAGCAAATATAGTACCTATTATTATGATAATTAGATGAAAGTGTCACGAGACAATTACAACCACGCCGTAGTGTAGCCCTTTGTGATAATGCTGACCGCCTTAGATTCTTTCTCGTGTGTAAAAGATATATATAGGGAAGCTTCATTTCGAATAGTTCCGTTTAACTATAACCAGAAAGCTCATACCCAATAATCGCTATCCGTCACGCGTACTTGTCCGTGGTTTAACTACACCACCCTGTGAGTTCCTTGTCATCAACAGCGCGTGCTATCGGTGTCATTCGGCGTTCTCAATAAAAAAAAAGGAGAGTGTGCCGAGATTTCGAGAAAGTGAATGAAACAGTCCAGACGAATTTTGAGGTTGTGACAGAAAAAATATATTTACATAGTTGTTTCTAGAGTGGATACGCGTGGAGTGAAACGGATCGTCTGTCATTTCAGCAAGCACGAAAGCCGTACGACGTCCGTGACGTGATCGAACAATATTCCCAAGGGCACGTGAACATGATGGTGCGGATAAAGGAGCTGCAGCGAAGGTAAGACCTTTTTAGATGCGGAGCATCTTATACTCGCGCCTTGTAGTGCGCCGTCCGCGCCGTCCGCACCGCTTCTCAAACATTCGACAGCTGACGCGCGCGCATGCGCCGTCGCGCCGTCGCCCACTCTTCCACCATCTGTGCATCCCTTCCTCCTCTACACACCGCGCGCGCTTCACTCCTCCACCATCTGTGCACCCTTCCTCCTCTACACACCACGTTCGACATCTACAATTCTCCTGATTCTCCAGTGGACGCGCATGTGGCGTCGCGCTTCGAGAACATTCAACAGCTGACAGTGCATGCGCCGTCGTGCTGTATATATACTCAAGGTCGGCGCTCACTCGCTCAGTTGCCGCTCGTCGGTTGGTTTGTACGGCGCGTCGACGTCCAAGGTCGCGGTGAAACGAATTCCAACGAATCCACAAACACAATGATCGACGTCCCTTCGACCAACGCCGCCCTTTCGCATACGTGTGTACGTGTTCACTCATTTAACACCCCCTCCTACAACCACGTTAACCAATTTAGCCATCGACCCAAGTAAGTCGCAATTTAACACCCCATTTCACAACCACGTTAACCAATTTAGCCATCGACCCAAGTAAGTCGCACTTTAACACCCCGTTAACCAATTATATGGTCCGCATCCTCCTCAGTGTTCCCCCGAGGGAAGCTGCGGGCATTTTTTTTTCTCCACGCATATCACATCAAGTCAACCCACGGCCTTCCCATTACGCGAGCTGTCCGCCTGGGTGGACAACTGGCTATGGGGTTACCGGCTTATCACCCGGAAGTCAAGGGTTCGAACCCCATCTTGGCAGTCGAATTTTAATGAAGGCGAAATAATATTGGCCCGTGCACAGTCTTTGTCAGTGCAGGTTAAAAACACCAGATGGTCTAAATGCTGGAAGCCCTCCACTACGGCGTTTTTCCTAATATCATGGTTTTGGGACGTAAAAGCACACATAATAATATTGTGTTACGAGAGCCATGGTCTACTAAAAGACACAGGCTAGGGGGGGGGGGGGGGGTCACCTTTTTTTGAATGGTCATTTTCCGCTCTGTGTGCCATGGTGTTAAATATCGGAAAGAAAGAGTAAGGGGGGGGGGCGCTGAGCCACCCTCTGGCAAAGCTATTGGTTGCCCCCATTAACTTTATTGGTTATGCCCTATATGTGTAAACAGTTCTATTAATATGTTACATAGTTGCCAAGTAATGGACCAGTGCCCAATCCTGCTCTGCCGAGGAAGTGCATTTCCGGCTGTATCCGATCGCACACTTCGATCGGCTTCGCCGCCGTGGTCGCTGATGGGGCCATACCCCGGCCCTTTTATTGCAACTCCATCATGACGCGGGCCTATTTTTTTTTCATATCGCGTTGGAAATTGTCCGACACTGAGATTCGAGCCACGGGTCTTTTAAATGCGAGGCTGATGGTCTACGCCTACGTCATCTGCTTAGAATCATTCAAAGGAAATTGATAGCGGTAATCTTAAGCGAGAGGAGAGCGAAAAAGAATAAGTGGAGGCAAATACGGGGAGGTCAACTAGAAATGCGACTTAAGATTTGCAACGCTGCACTAAGGGAAGGGTGAATGGGGAAAAGAGATGAGAAGGAAAGTGAAAACAAGAATAGAAACGCGAGAAAAAAAAGAGCTGTGTGCTTTAGCCTATCCAATAGATCACTGACTCGCCAGAACCTCTATAACAATCTAAAAAAAAACGAGGAGTAAAAAGGATGTCTTTTTGTCCTCCAACAATAATTGTCATCTGACTTGCTTGCACGTACTTTCTCGAAAAATCGGCGCTTACCACTTTCCTGTCAGAAGCTACAAGTCACGCTGATTGCGCGCATGCCATTTGGGAGCTGAAAGTGCCGGATGCGCCGAGATTAAGCAAGGAGAGAAACGCATGATAGATAGCGATTATTGTCGTGGACGCCCCTTTTTACTTAATCTTTCTTTAGAGTAAAGGCCTTGACTGGTTTATTGAACGAAGATAGATCGTGTCGCATTCTAGCACTGAAAGAGACACTGGAAGAGAGCAGAATGAGTCAGAGAGCAAACTGGGGTTAAGAATATCGTAGCTGAAATCGAAAGAGAAGGATATGAGCATTAGACGGAAACGTAGAGCGTAAGCAGGATAACCACTGGTCATAAATGATAACTGAACGCATTCCAAGAGCAGGTCATTGCGTGCAAGAGAGAAAAAAATAGGTAGACAGATTGCAGGTAAACATTTGCAGGTATAAAGTGGCAGCAGAACGCACAAGACCGCGTTGGTTGGCGAAACATGGAGAGGCCTTTGGCATGGTGGAGCCTTATTCAAGCTGCTGCAGCTGCAGCAGCACCAGCACATGCCTATCTTAGGCAGCTAGGCAGAAACACTGCTGATTTTACAAGGAGATCATTGGCGGAAGGAATGCATATAAAACAGAAAAGAGGCGCCATACAATCATTTGTAACATGCAAACAATAAATAGACAATAAGTACATCAAACTCTGTAGCAGAAATACGTGTGGTGAGAATACTTCTCACGGCAAAACTACAAATACAACAGTTATGATGGTGATTGATTGATTAATATGGGAAGTTTGACGTCCCAAAGTATGATTATGAGAGCCAAAAAATTTCAACCACTTAGGGTTATTTAAAGTGCCCTTAAATCTGAGCACACGTGCCTAAAGCATTTCCGCCTTTATCGAAAATGCAGCTGCCGCAGCCGGGATTGGATCCCGTGATCTGAGGGTTAGCATCTGATTACCTTAGCCGCTACGCCACAATGATTATAATGTTACGGTGTACAATAATGCAATCAGCTTATTGAAATACAGAGTTCAGATACGAGTTACAAAACGACAGAAGGAAAAACAGAAACAACTACAATAAGATTCACGAATAATGCACAGTTCACGAATCATGTAGAGTCGCAAGCAACCTTAACACGTACGCTACGCAGCGTGCCCCGAAAGAGTTTGATTGACGCTAGGTGCCGCATTGCTTTGGTTCTGTGGCCGAAACTGATTCCCAAGCATGGAAACGTATACTATCCCAAGCGTGCGGGATTATCATCTCGGAAACACCTTCCAGCGCTTCGCGGCTTGCATCCTGGTCACGTGTAGGAGCATTCGTGTGAAACTTGCTGACGACTGTTCTGTTACGTCTACCATATCTAAGACTTGATTAAGCGTTGGAAACAGGGCTGATGTTTCAGGGCGAGTTTCTGTCCCTGCAGTGTGGACGTCCGTGTCGTGTTTCTGACTCTCTGTCATTGACCTCGAACCTCTATGCGCTCAAAAGCATCCCAGAAACAATCTAACATCGCCTATAGCTAAAGCCTATCAGCGACCTAGGAGAAACCACATTAGACTGCGGAATCGTCCCGCACCGCATTTTCAGGGCTTCCGCGACTTGCTGCAACGTTCGAAATTTGCGTTTTGTTCAATGGAAACATACCAGGCCACTTCACGCGCCCAATACTTTCATGTAATTTCTGCAAAATATCTAATACCATTTGCAACCAGCCTTGACTATTATCATAGCTCCATTAAAAGAAACAGTCAAGACTCGCAGTTCATCAATCAGCTGTAGCAGCTTGTGAAACGCCGGTTCATTAGACAAGCGATCTGTTTTTCAATCAAGCTATCTTGCTTGTTTGTTTGTCGCCTTGTTTCAGGCTAGACCAGACGCTTGGGAAACCTGGTTCCTACCTGAACGAGAAGGGAATGAAACCGATGACTGTGGGAGCCCGGCTACATCGTATGGAAATGCAGGTATTGGGCACATCGCACGCTTTTAACGGAAGGCCTCATATCACGCTATGAGCATGACTTTTACGTTGTGCACTACTTCCTTGATTATATATCGATTAACTGTAAAGAAGAATTAGTTTCGGTCGGAACCGCTCACAGGGTTTGGTCCAAATCTGCTTAGACTGTAGATAATTTTTTTGCATCTTGGCTGTAAGCTTGGTGTCATTTCCATCGCTTTACTTCCATTATAAAACTATTATATATTTCCAGTACTGTTTTGAGCACACTGTTGTTACGCCTATGTTACGCTCGGAGGTTGTGGGACAACCTGTCTTAGTATTATACAAATTCAGCCACAGTGAATTTCAGTACAAGTGATTTTGATTATATCAGCTATATGTGTAGAGTAAATTACTGCTCTACAATACTTACCGAGAAGTGAGAGCATTTGCTCTCGAGTTGGTGTTTTTGTGCAATTTTTGACAATGTTTGTACGTCTGTGGTCTAGAAATGTTTCTTTATATTGGCTTGTGGAGACACAGCACCGAACCTCAACTCAAAGATTTGTTGATACGACAAATAAATATTTAGTGCTATAACGCTCCAACGAAAAAGAACATTTCGAATAAACCTTTTTCCGTAGTTATCACAACTAGCCTCTTCTAACTGAGCCATCAAATTCGCATTTCAAACATGCGTTTGCAATGTTTGCCAAGTGTCTGGTGGGGAAAATTCAAGTTTTGCAGACGATATGCCTGCAGAAGTCAGTCACAACTGTCTAGTGACGCTTTTCATGCTCCACGATTATGTGTAATAAATAATAGGCCCCTAGCCGTGAAACGCGACGTTTGGGTAGTGATAATCATGGCTCAAAGAAACATTAAGAGGAAGGTGGGTGGTTAACCACATATTATATCCGGGGTCAAAGTCAGGAAGGCACGGGGCACTCCATGCGACAAGGCCTTGTGACGAGAACTTTAGGGGGGCACAAAGCCCCCTCTGTCTGATGACCTGTAATATTTTTCACTCCCCTCTCTCACAAACACACACACATACCACACACACCTCGTTTGTGGTGGTGTCCCGTAAGAGATAATAAGACACCACCTCTCCCATCGATCAACACAAGCGAAAATTTAAGCACCAATAAGCACCCCACTGACATATGGTCTACTTTGGAAAGCTCAAGTCGTAACTTGATGGCACACCACTTTTCTCCCTCGCAGCTCATGTCCTTGGAGAGAAAGGTGGACAGGGTCCTGTCAATGCTGGAGCTGATCACCAGCGGACACAAGGGGGACCACGGACAGGAGTACGACATTTAAAAGCAAGATGGTGTGGAGAGATCCAAGCATTTTCGCTTAGCCTCGAACACAGAGACACTGAAGATGTGTCTAGCAGCCTGTCGACATCGGCAAATCTGAAGTTAAACGAGTCAGCAATGGCTGATGAGGAAGATTACGCTGCATACCGGCAGTGGGGAAAAAATGGCGTCATCGATATTCTAACACCCAAAGTCGTTTTACCTATGCTACTTGCTCCACCTCGATATTAGTTAGAATTACGCCAGACCTCCCACGAGTTTTCGTCTACTTCAGGCATTCCTTTTCTTTTTTATGGTGGTTCGATTTCTTTTGCATTTTTCATTTCGCAACAAAATACGCATCAGGCAGTGAGCCACAGAAAAAAAAAAAAGACGTTCCACTTCTTAGACGCTAGTCTCTGAGCACAGCTCCGAGACCTTTTTACTACAGTCGTCATAATGCAGTTTCGATGAACTGCAGATACCCATTGTATTGCTTGGCTAACACATCAAGTAAGATATGAAGGACCAAATTCCAGTCATATTAAGACTGCATGAGTGTGAATAAATATTTACATCAACTACATGCTTCAGCATCAGGTAGTTACAATTGTGGATAGGTCTAGCCTTGCGAGACGCGAGATCAGTGGCGTGTCAGTGCCATTTGTGGCTTAGCCATTATACGCCAATGACTTTGGAGGTGTACATTACGCGTGGTTATTGAGTTTTTACGCAACCGATCCGCTCAATTTTGATGGTTTTAAGACGTTACCGTGGTGAGTGACGCGTCTGCAATCATAGTTTGACGCTGTGAGATAACATATTCATCAGGAATTAAGTTCAAAATGCAACTACCGATATCATATTGAGAAGAAAGCAGTGAAAAGTGGCGAGATAGTTAAGCTTGGGCTAGCAAATTATCATACTATACTGCTTTCTATCCGTTTCTGTGAACGTAAAGCAGTTTACAACACAGCACGTTGTTTTAATAGCACACCCGCCGTCCTCGTTGCTTCTTCTGCATAGGTAAGACTATTCACGCACACTCAAAGAAAATACTTAACGCTAGGAGCATCACGTGACAAGGACTCAAGTGATAGGTTACGTTGTAAGGCAGTTTGTAAAAATGCGAATGCACTAGTAGGGTTAAACACTCCTGACAGTTCCTCGGAGAAACATCGAAAGGAGAGAAAAAGGTAGGTGATCTGCACAAAGCAGCATTTTACGATAGTCGCAGAAGCAAGTGGAAACATTGGCCATGTGTCAAATACATCAAGCTTTACACATTTTATTGTAGTAACTCGATATGCTTTCCATACATTTTATAGTGAAATCATACGGTTTTCCCAAGTACCTTAAATAGTTCTAGACAAGTTCGCTAACAGTGGTTAGCGAACAACATAATTATTGAAAAGCATGTTGAAGGGCACACCAGGCATGATGACCCTGCCGTGGAAATTGAAATTGTCTTCAGTACCCCCAAACGTCACGTAAAAATTTATAATCAGGCACTTTTCTACACCCTCAGTTCTGTTTGACAAGTCACAGTCCGAAATAAGGTACACAGTTTTAGCGTTCTAAAATACGTATTTTACGTAGTTAGCATACAACTTTGTACTCCAACTTGCCTCTTCAGGACCAAGAAGCACCGCACATAGGAGACATGAAAACCGGTGTCGATGTGCTGCAGGTTCATTATGAACACCCTCATTCTCTGTAGCTAGGGTTTCACTCCATTCTAGTTAGTACATTGATGACGTAATGAAAGGAGCATTCCCTACTACTTTTTCAATGGCTTTTCTAAGAGTTTCTCTTAAAAGCTTTACGGATAGCCTTGTCCAGGGTATTACCAAAGGCTTTCGAACCAGACCACGTCTACATATCAAAACTTCGCCCTTCAAGGTCTCAAAGCACCTTTATTAACCGTCAGACTTTTGCACTACCTTCCGAGGTCTTATATAAAATGTTTTCAATGTCGCTGCCAATTGCGCCACGCAGAAAATACGCCATGCCTTTCATTTATAGTGTTTGTATGTACGCTACAGTGACGTGTTTAGGGGCAGTGTGCAGACGCCTACCTACCTATAAATGAAAGCGCATTCTTGGTACGTCTAGACGCTTTTCTCTTTGTTTATTCTACACTATGCTTTCCTTGAGATCTTACATAACGTATCGGAGCAAGATTGATTGAGCACGTAAAAAAGTATACATTCATGGAGCATTGATAACTTAGTTACACCTTTTTTTTTTTTTTGCCAGATGCCTGTTAACGCCAATATGTCCTAATTTCTTATCCTCTCAAACGACTTTACGTTGTTTGTGGGCGAGAGAGAATTAACGCTCGGTTTGTCACAAGTAGTCTGAACGAAAAAAAAACGCAAAGAAAACAAGCACGAACAGTGACATTAATGCCCTCTAGAAGAGTGGTTTGGCGCCTATAGATCATTCTGACTTTACATGTAAAAAAAGTGATTATTGGCTTCTGTAACATGCAAGCATTTTATTTTCCGCGTCACCCACTTTCTAAATGGCTTGATAATGTGTACTTAGAGAGAAACGATGCAGAAAAGTTATAATTTCCTATTTCTTATTTCTCAGTTATGACAAACAATTGTAGTTATATAAAGGGCATCTGTTTTTACATATAAAGCTGCAAGCTATGACTTTGCTCCAGGTTTCATGAACAAAAGTTCATGCATTTGAAAGGCCTAGCTATAATGCCTTTTACTAGTTTCTATTCCAGAATTGTATCTCATAAGTCAGAATGCGGAGAATGAAGCTATTTGACAGTTTTTGCAGTTTTATAGTCACAGGGTTGATATCTAAAACAGTTAACTAATTAGGCTACACCTATTCCTGCTATGTGTTTTCCCCCCACGACTACTAGGTATAATGCCAACGCAGTCAATGATGTCTGTTTAGCGTACATGTTGTAATTTATTTTTCATATATCATATATAGTCACCTTTGAGAACAAAGACGAAAGCTTAAATTAAGTCATAATATTATTGTGCCACACACAGTTGCGAGAGGGACTTTGATTACGCTATTGGAGTCCACCTCCAATATCCCTAGACATGTGTCAAAGTCCTGCTGTAGAGTACAGCAGACTCTAAAACAGTACCCCCAAAGAGACTCTAAAACAATACCCCCACTGAGGGATTGGCAAAGAACTTGCAGTGTGGAATCATTCTTTTTTTTTCTATTTCATGCACATTTTTTATACTTTAATGGTCGAAAGGGTAAGCCGGGTGAAAGATGAGACAGAGTGTTCGCAGATAAACTGAAAGCATCTTAGACCAAACACGTCCCGCATAGCGACAAGCCTAATCCAACCTGAAAGACTACGGTTATTTTGTACGACGCACTTTTTAATACCCAGAGTGATGTACAAATAGTGCGAGCCACCACGTTACGTCCCGTTGTTTAGCCTTGCACAAAGAAGTGAGATTTTCTCGCCTACGGTGATGACAGGGACGAGGTATCCCCGATTTCCCCTTTGAAGCTGGCGCAGTGCGTGTACGGATGCCTACACATCCACACGTTGCAGAGTGTGGATCACACTTGTCCAAAGCTGTCGGACAGTCGACATTTCGCACACAAAAAAAGTAGAGGCCTTCACAGTAATCGGAACAGTTACGTTTAGCCACAAACCTTGGTTCATGTCTTTTAGATCGCCCGCACGTGTTATTTTACACACCCACTCACGTTTAGTGCAAAACTTAAGAACGGTCTGTAAAAAGGGTAGGAGGGTAGATGGGGGGATCTCACAATGTTTGGCCATCATGGGCCAAGGGGGCAGCAGAAATTAGACCTGAGGGGGTGCCCTCCCATGAAAATGACGATGTTGAGTGCTTGTTGGCACAAATGGCCATGTGATGGGCAAAGAAGGTCTGCACATGAGGCGAAAGAAGTGGGTCATGGGTATGGTGACTGGCTGTACAGGGTCTTGGAATTGCTCGCACTAATGGCGGGTAAAACATGGGTCTTAAGATAACGAGAGTAACATGAAATGCGTGCAATGAAATTGAGCGGCACATGGTTGTGATAATAAATTTTTGATTCGAAGGTATGAACGCAAATATCTTATCGGCAAACCTTGTTCCGCCAGTGCGTCGTTGATCCCGACTGACGTCACTGCCTGACTGCGTGACGTCATTGCCCGACGTCACTGCAATGTAAAGCTTGCCGCTGGACAACTTTGGACAAATGTGGCTCGCACAGCGCCGACCTGTAGCATAGATCACTTTCTACACACGCTTGATTCGTGCACGCAACAAACGTGTTTCCTCGAACATGACGCGAATCCCTCCCAACTTCGTATTTGCCGTGTTGGGAGCAATGAAACTGGACTATCGGTGTAAATAAACTAACCTAGTCGTATTGGTTGAAGAGGTGCGTGAGTGAAACAAACCGCGTGAGCCCATTGCCGCGGTGAAAGTGTAAGCAGTGTTGCTTGACCAATAAAAGATGCTATGAGCGATGAAGTTTTCGACTAGTTATTTTGAAAAAAAATACACAACTGGACAGCACGGTTGCAGCAACATATGGTCCTCATTCTTTGGTTGATGTGAAAGCTGTTGTTTATCAGGTGCCAACATTCTTGAAGAGCAGGCTTTCGAAGAGCCAGCTATCTTCGCAAACATTGAATCGAACGCAAGAGCCTCTAATTGGAAACATAATGAAATCATAGGACCAAAAGCAGTTACCCTGACGTACGTAGGGTGTTTGAAAGTGACGCACCGTAAGTTAGCCGTGACCAACCATCCCTTTGGCTAGCGATGCTAGGCCGGTTGCGCTGAGACATTTTCCATGATATAAACGCCAGGCTACCTCTGTAAGCAAAGTCTAAAGACGTTTCTAAAGAAAACGTGATTTAAAGCAAGATGTATTGAACGTCGTTCGCTAGTGTGCTGCCTTTAGCAGTTCGCCTAACTTTGGATGGCTCACAAAATCGAACTCGACCGTTCAATACAAACAATATTTTCCTCCGTGGCTTCCATGCTGACGGAAGGGATTAAAATGCTTTTGTAGACGAAATTATTTATGTTTAGAGGAGGGCGACAGTCTGA